TTATGGGTCATTTAATGCCGAAATTAACTTTTTTTCTTGGGAACTTTGGCGCAATAATCTGATATGTTACTTTGTTTTCGCAATTAAATACACAAATCGATTGTTGGTGATTTTTTTTACTATGAGAATATATTGCTGGAATTTTTATAAAAGTGTATTTTTATACATTTATAGTGTTTCAATTTTAATTCACTATTTGCTTATAGTTGAGACCCTGAGAGGTGCTACCACCCAGGAGCTGAGTGGACCTTGGAACAACAGTAATTAAGAGATGGCCCCATGTTTCTCAATACCTCGCTGTCAGAGACCTTGCTTACGGATTTAGTTTATCGTCATACCCAGGATGATATTTTGTGACGTTCAACAATAATACTAATGTGGGTTCATTGGGTGTTCAAAGTACATATGATATTCTTATATACTTATGATATACTTATAAACTTATCATATATTTATGAGTGAAGGAAAATGTTATAGTGGAATACACCTATTCTATGGTTGATAGACTCTCCCACCTATAATAATTAGGAGTAGTAGTAACAAGTCAGTCGTTAAGCGAGTTGGTCAGTCGATGTCGAACGACCGTTAGTAGGATATTTAAGTATCAGCCACCACAACTAGATTACTGAGTCATTACCTATTATATCAAGTTCCTAACGTTTTGTACTGTGGCACCATGCATACCTACGAGTTGAAAGAAATATTCATAGATATATGATTTGTTTGTTACGGTTTATCAACCATTTAATAAGTATTTAAGGCCGAAAAATATTTTGGGTTTCAAGAATAATTCTTTCTTTACATTCAAGCGATCTGGGAGAAAGAAAGGGAAAACGAAGAAGAAAGAAAGAAAAAATAATACGAAAACAGGTCATAAGCGAGCACTAACACACACACACACGGCTAGAACTGATAGATAGCAGGTGTCGAAAATATTCAGGTCACCTGAGGAACAAGCATTTGACCGATTTCCGCGTGTCCACGAAAAATGGAAGTTTGTTATCAATTGATGTCACCCAAGGGAAAAGAAAAGAAAGGAGGAAAAGAAGAAACGAAGTTTAGGGACAATGAAAATATTGATAAGTAACAAGTGGGAAAGTGTGTCATTGGAATGATAGTAGAGGTCTAAGTGGGTGGGGAAGTGTATCTAAGGATATGAAGACAAACCATTAATACGAAAACATAGACAGTCTTCAGAATTAGAAAAAGCCCACACAAGATGTTGGCACTGGCAAAATTTTTCTTTTGACAGAATAAATGCCCGCCCTGCGATAGTAAAGATTTTTGTTATCAAGCTTCGAGCGAAAGGAAAATCAAATATTTTTATTTTCGCTTCAGAAACGCCAACTAGTCTGAGAAATTCCTTTCTTAGATCATATCCAATTAGCGATAAACTGCTTGACAAATAACACGTGTTGAAAAGCCGGGAGTGTCATCTCAGTCGCTCATGATAAGGGCGATTTAATTAATATTTTTGTTTTTTAAGCAAAGTATTTCTTTCCCAAAACAAAGCCACGGATTGTCCACGCCCGACTAGGACGTCATTGGCTAAATAGATCACATGACATACGAAGGAGGAGGAAAGATACCCGACCAGGACCTCATTGGCCGAGAGCGGTCACGTGACGCACGAGGAGAATCGGTCGACGCCCCTATCAGAAGTGTAAGTGTGAGGAGCCGATACGAAGAAGCGGGGAAGTGGGTACACGCCTCTCAGAGGAAGGAAGTGGGAGTGAGAGGAGAGTTACCGAAAATGGAAAAGAATGAAAAATCCCTAACCAGAAATAAGAAGGGTGGATACGTATTTAGAATTATCGAAGAACCCCTGGCGCCGACAAACCCACCACAGTTTTGACGCCGTCAATAAAAGCGAAACCCCAACCGACAGAAATCAGTGCAGCCGCGGACGGCAAGCGGAGTGAAACCGCGGACGGCGGGCCGAATTCGTTCGCCCCCCTAGCGGGCAGGAGAGGCCAGTTCGTTTAGCCTAAGTGAAGAAGTTCGTTCGACCCAAGCTGACGAGAAGAAGTAGTTCGCGCACCGACGGCGGAGATGAGTGACCAGTAATTCAGACTCTTCGTCGACCCAAGCCGGAGAGAAGAAGTTTGAGTTCAGCCGCGGACCCTGGCGAGAAGTTTTGAACCTTGGACGACAAGCAATGATGAGCGCCCAGTGTTGAAACCGCGTCAAGATAGCTGACCAAGATTCACGCACACTTCTGGACTCTTCTTCAACCAAGAACAAGTAGTTTGAAGAGCGACTTGGAATCAGACCACAGAAATAAGTTTTTCGACTTTCGTCCAAAGACACACCGAAACACAAATTCCTTAAAGCCTTGAAGCCTTAAAGTTGCCTAGTGAAAGCGTCGTGCCACAATCCACAGAACGGGTCGGGAAGTAGACATAGTCCTATGTACCGAGCAAATAGACATAAAAAGTTTGTTACCTTTTTCTTTGATACTTTGGACTTTGTGAGTTTTTATTTTATTTTATTTTATACATAATTGTGTGTTATCACCCCGTTGAACTCATCTTGCATTACGGTCCCAGCCCCTGTTTGATCTCGTCTGTCTAAGATCAATTCACAACGTGGGTAGGCAGACTGGAGATCAGTGCAGTTACCCTGGTAACCAGGCGTTGGAAGCAGGTTGGGAACGGCAAGGCTGGTATCAATCTAACCAAAGTGTTAGAACGTCACGTTTGAAGCAGCGACACCCGGACGGAGCAGCGAGGAGCGAACTGCTGACGCCGCGGCGAAGACGTCACAGTACGTCGAACCTATTTTAGGACCGACTTAATGAAATACAAGCCTCCACCGTGAAACCACTACATAACAGAAAGAGAATCCCAGAGAACGAAAGTGCGTACTTCGAGCGATTGCGTGTTGAAAAAAAAAACGGTTAGTATTATCATGTAATAATCTAATATAAAAGTAAATGGTAATGGGGATATTAATATTAGCAGTTTCCTTATAAGGAGACATTCAGAATTCATTGACAGAGACGCTAGTACTAAAGTCGGTTGGAATTTACAATTTTCTCTTTAAACAATTTTTAAGAAAATATATTTTTGAAGTCCAGTAGCTGTTATCGCTCTTTCTATTATTGATGGGTTTTCCTTCATAAAATTTATTTAAGGTAGTGTGGAATGCCAACATCTTGAAGAAGTCATTATCTTTTCTTCGATTTACATGTGCTATCCATTTTAGTGACTGCCGCTGTTGAAAGTGTTCAAGTTATCTGTTTTTTGTTATCAGTTGCAGTTCTTTGTTTGCGATTAGTGTCGACCCAGTTCACAAATTTCGAAAAAGTGTTGTCTTCACCAAAACCCAGTGGCTTCACAACTATTTTGCAACGTTGATCTAAGAACGCAGTTATTAGGTGGTCCCAAAAGTTCGTAAACACTTGCAAAAAATTGAAATTTTACTCGCCAAGTAATAACAAAAACAACAAAAATTATTCCTCAAAATAAGGACCATCATTTTCCAAGACTTTCTGCCATCGATCTGCAAGCTTTCGGATCTGGTGAAAGTACCATTCAGCCGGCTTCGAATCAAAGAATTCTTGACACGCTTCCTCGACTTCATCAAACGAGTCGAATCGGCGGCCCTTCAGAAAGTGTTGCATTGAGCGGAAAAGGCTGTAATCTGATGGAGCACAGTCAAAACTGTAGGCTGGATGTGGCAGAACCTCAACGCCGTCCAGCTATTCAAACTTGTCTTTGGTCTTCCTGGCGGTGTGTGGCTTGGCATTGTCCTGCTGCATCAAAGCGCGCTTTTGGTTGATCAGAGCCGGGTACTTTTGTTTCAACTTTTCGTAGACCCGCTCCAGTTGCTGACAGTAAAGTTCGGCACTGATGGCACGACCATTCCGAACCAACTCAAAATGCACGATTCTTTCAAAGTTCCACCAAACGCACAATATGACTTTCTTGCCGAATCGATCTTGTTTTGGAACCGACGGTGACTCTTTCCCATTCTGAACCCATCGCTTGTCTCGATTGTGCTGGATTGTGTTGCATAAAAATTCAATTTTTCGCAAGTCTTTACGAACTTTTGGGACAACCTAATATATACAGCTGAAAATGTAGATATTTTTGAACTGGTTTGATGCTATACACGACATCCATATGTAAGTTTTGATATAACTGGACCATTTAAGAACGCGACCATTTAAGAACGCAACACGAGTTTTAGGGTTAATACCTTGGTTTTGTAGAAATGTTGGGCGAAGAATGAGAAACACATTGATTGACTCGTTTTTTACGGCTTATCAACCATTTGCAGCTTATTTAAAGCCAGAAAATATTTTTATATCGTAATAATTTTCTTTTTAGATATTAATGCTTTAGTGATACAGGTCTTACTAATTAACCCATAGCTGTGGGGGAAAAGAGGTAGATTCATAATTTTCTCAAGTGTATGGTGCGTACGTGAATATAACGAACCGGCAGGAATTTGAACTCTGCTCTCTGATTTTCAATTTCAAACCGTTATCCATTACACCACCTGCTTATCCAAGCTTGCAGTACCTGGAATTATCCAGCAGTCACCCTTCTATGTACTGACCAGGCTAGACATTGCTTAAATTCGGTCATCGTACGGGAATCGCTGTTTCAACGTCAAGCCTGATAAACACGTCATGGCATACTTATAGAGTTTAGTAGTATACTAGCAATTCAAATTTTAACTTGTATTTTCTTTACTGTAAAGATTGGCATTTTTATATCGAAAGTGAAGAAGGCAGCTCTCAGCGTAACAGTATTGAATATAAAAGCCCCGTGTGTGTATCAATTGATTCTAAAGCAAATATAAATAAAAAATAGGAATTAAATATACAGAAAAATAAGAAAACAGAACATATCGCGGAAATAGATAGAAAAAAAACTTGAAAAATGTCTATAAATATATTGAGGTGAAAAAATCACTTTGGAGTAAGTAAAAGAAATTTAAAGGAAAAATAAAAAATCAAAGAGTAGAGATGAATAAGAGGAAAACGTCTGTTAGGAAAAAAGAAAAGAAAGAAACGTAACAATTAATAAATTAAAAAAAAGACAGTGAGAGATCAGAAGAAATAAAAGATGAAGAAGAAGAAGAAATCTCTTGGGAAAAGAAAAGAATAAAGATGAAAAGGTAACAGATAATAAAGAAGAGAGAAGGAAAATAAATATTAAAAAAAGAGAAATTAGAAAAGAAACAGAAAAGATGGTGCAAAGTAGGAAAAACGATATATGGAGAAAATCGAAGAAATGTGAAGGAAAGTCTGAAGAAAGAAAAAAGAATGAGAAAAAAGAAAGAAAGAGAAGATAAAGGAAAATAAAGAAAAAGGAAAAAAATTGAAGAGACTGAAGAAAAAGTAAAAATTATAAAGAAAATTATGAAGAAAAAGAAATAAAACATTATAAGAAAAGAAAGAAGAATGATTGAAAAGATAGAAAAAAAAAGAAAGAAAAAACATAAAATAGAATAAATAAGAAAATCCAAAGAAACGAAAGAAGAAGAAAAGCTAAAGAAAGAAAGAACAGGAATTTAAGAAAAGGACAGAGAAATTAGAAAGAGTTAAAGAAAAAGAAAGAAAATTGAATGGACGAAACAATAATAATAATAATAACAACCAAAGAAAGAAAGAAGAAAAAATAGGAGGAAAAAAATATAAAGAAAGAAAAAGGAGCAGAACTAAAAAAATGATAACATCAAAAAAAAAAAAAAAAAAAAAAAAAAAAAAAATCACGTCGGTGAAAAAGGAAAGGAAGGCTGCAAAAAGTCAACGAAAGAAAAGAAGCCGAGACGGCATAAAGGGGAAAAGAGAAGAAAGAAAAGCTTGAAAAAGAAAGAAAGAAAGAGAGAAGTAAGGAATAAAATAAATAAAATAACATAAAAAGAAATAAAAAAAGAACGATAGGAAATACGCAGGCGGAAAGAAAAGTTAAGCGAAAAGGAGAGTGAAAAAAAGGAAAAATGCAGGAAACGATTGAGAAATAAAAATCAAAAGTAAAATATGTTTTTAAAAATTAGAAATACATAAAGCCGAGAATAAAAAGAGAAACAAAACAAAAAGGACCAAAATACCCAGTAAGGAAAGAATGGCGAAGACTCCACGGGCTTTTAAATAATAATCCTATTAAAATTGTTTTATAAGTATTTTAGGTTTTTAAATACACTCAGAAAGTATCTATCTGTTGATATCTTTGTATGTATGTATGCATGTATCTATCTATCTATCTATCTATCTATCTATCTATGTGAATCTGTTTATATCTATCTATCTTTCTACATCTATCTATCTTTCTGCATCTATCTATCTACTGGAATCTGTTCTTATATATCTATCTTCCTGAATCTACTCATATATATGTGTGTGTGTGTGTGTGTGTGTGTGTGTGTGTGTGTGTCTACGGTAGTATTACACTAAAAAACACCAGTTTTGGTTGAATAACTGAGAGTCAGCATCCTCGAAATCAGTCAGTACTTAGATGGGGGATCTCTTGTTAACACAGTCTACTGTACTGTACTGATGCGGCATTCACCCTGGGCGGATTGAGCCGGTTTCTTCCTGTTATGAGAAGAAGATTCTTGGGATAAATTACAGAAGTAGGGTACCCAGGCCTACTCGGATAACGTTCTTGCTTGCCGCGGGGTTCCCACAGACGCAGAGACAGGAACGACCAGAAGCCACCGGTTACCGATGCAGACGCTCCTTGGATTTTCACCAGAGCCTTTGTTAGCCGGCGTGTGTGTCAGACCTGTCCACCTTGGGTGGCCCTACCAGGAACGAAGTTCCGGGCGGCATAGCTCTGACACTACCGTTTACACCCCCCCCGCACCGACTGTGAGGTAAGGGTTGGACTTTGGGGGCTTACAGTACCAGGTGTTCCTAAGCTGTCCCCCATCTAAGTACTGACCTGGCTCTACGCTGCTTAACTTCGGTGATCGTACGCGAACCGGTGTTTCAGCGTGATTTGACCGTAAGCTTACGGTCACCTGTAAGGAACTTCCTAAAATCAGGGGCTGTTTCAGGTTTAAATTACCCGCGAAGGTTTGCTAAGCCGTAAAAACAAAATCAATCTATCTTCCTATATATATATATATATATATATATATATATTTTTTTAATAGGATCCTATCATATTTACGCGCGAGTTTCTTAGTAGCCTTATTAAAAGAAGGAAGAAAATTACCTCACTGTCATCTCCAGTCTTGTTTTTGCTAAGACAAAACTGCTGTGTTCATCTGAATTCGTAATTGTGAATTGAAAAATGCTCATCTTCAGGGTCAACGTCTAACGTGCTAATGGCGAAAGTAATCGACATTAAAATGGATATACATCAACATGATAATTTATTTAATGAGACATGTCTTAATGAAAACATGCATCAAAAATATACGCAATATATATATATATATATATATATATATATATATATATATAGATAGATAGATAGATAGATAGATATATGCCTCACACTACGTCATTAATTGGTTCCAGAGGTCACGGATTAGTTCGAAAAATGACATAACTCGAAATAACCCTAATATAAACCGCAAATAAGCACTCCCCATTGCCTATTACACTATTTATGATATGTAAATACAGTATTCTGAATAAAGTAATTAATTTCCACCTTATCTACCAGCGATATAACTTTACCCTGAGCATTTGCACTGGCACTGGAATCTTTCTTTAGAGCAATGGGCAAAAATCTATTCTAAATGGAAAATTGAAATGTAATTGAAAGAAAGTCAACGGCAGAGCACAGATGTAAACTAATCTGAATTCAAAATCGGTTTTGGAGCGGAAAATAACGTACATGTGCCTCTTGTCGACAGGAATTTGAAATAAGAAGATCTGCTGAATATACTTTATTATGCTATTTTTTTTATTTGGAAGATTCTATGATATATATATATATATATATATATATATATATAAAGACAGGTTTCGTTAAATAATTTTGATACGTTGTGTCTACTTATTTTCGATAGGATCCTTTCATATTCGCGAATAAGCGTGCGGTTGAAAACACCGCGTTGGCTCATATTATATTTATTCTGAGTACTTTCAACATAGCATAATGTCATCATCAGAGTATATAGAGTAAGTCTTTAGTGTACATAGTTGTGAAAGACAAAAATTGTTGTAATAATGCGAAGAATACCATTTTTATATGTGGATTCAAGAAAGCTATGTCATGGCTTGGCTGACATAGACAGTTAAAGGGGGAGGTAACTAGGTATGCCTTGGAAAAATTCAGTACTTGAGTAGTTGCTAGGTAAAGGAAAACTATTAATGACGAACGCTAACACATTAAAGGCTATTGTATACATGATTTATACTAATGTTTGTTTAATAAGTCGAATGCACGTGAAACCTGATTAACCAATGAAAATTAAACAACACAAGAATAAAATTACCAGAATTTCTTTCTTCTTGTACCCCATATCTTATTCTCTGATGAAGGTTTAATAAAAGTGAAACATGTTAGATTTGTAAACGTATCTTTTATGTTCTTTATCTTATCATTCTATAGAATTCCGATCCATATTTGGTTTGATCTAACTTTTGTAAAGATGGGACATAGAAGCTGGAATCAATTACTGTCTAGATTCTTGAATAGACAATTTGTTTTGCATCTTTAGCGATATTTTCTATATACGAATTCTATCCCGATAGACATTCAAAGCAAAGGTGCCTCATTAAGAGTACAACATTATTTATTTACAGGAAAAAAATTCATGGTCTGTCTTGTTACGGTGAAAGACTACCAGCTTGTTTCTGAATGTTACAAGAATCGCTCCCACCATTGAGCTATAGATATATAAAATTTTGGAGAGCTGGGTTAAAATTATTTGAACCACCCCGGCCCAAAACCTTGCGAAATGATGTCTAATGGCCGAGATTCAGCCGTTTTGTATGATATTCGGTATAGTGCATGCTCTTAAAACTACGGATGACTACAGCTTCTGGAGGTCCGACATTTTTTAAGCAAATAAGAATTTGATCAAAGTATTGTTTTCGGCAATCTATAGTACAACATCCTGTAGTCGCCATCAATAATCCCAACCGTCTCGCTCAAAAAAAAAAATACATATATATATATATATATATATATATATATATGTGTGTGTGTGTGTGTGTGTGTGTTGTGTGTGTGTGTGTGGCATATATAAGATGTGGTATTTGGATAATAAGTAAAACAGAAGTACGTATCTTAATCCAACCCAGTCAGCCTCAAGAGAATCTATTCAAACAGCGATTGAAACAAATCTGACAAGTTGGAAAATAGGATTTGAATAAGCAGTGATATTTATTTAACTTTGTATATCCTAATTATTTTCGTTTCTGAGTTCAGAGGAACCACTCGGGAGTTCTAGCATAGTTCCTAATCTTATCTGATGCTCCAAAACACACTTAAACTACTTAAATCATTTTGGGGCAGTGCGGTCCGATATCCGCTTCCCGATTAAGCTCGCAGATTACACGGCTTTGATACCGACATTAAAATAATAATGCCCAGATGCTACCCTAGGCATGGCTCTTATGGTTTCTGATCTTAACAGATTGCAGGCGTTAACGTGTACGTGTTTTTTTTTTGTTTTGTTTTTTGTTTGTCTTGGTGAATCAAAATGAGCTACTGTAAACGTCCCTTGCTTTTCAGTTGCCTGGCCATAATCAGGTGAGGCAACCAGGGCAACATGGGAGTTGCATGCAAACAAATGGGAACACCTTTCATCGGAGAACATCTGAGCGGACTGTGTTACCTGAGATGTAGGCATATCTAACTGGTCCCCAACGGTAAGGTGATTTACTACTTTTATCAAAACCTGTAAATTTATCGCTCGCATTTGGCTGTGATGAATGTACCTGATATACAATTATCAAACAGGTTGACGATGATGGGTTTTATTGGAGTTCTTATATCTGTACACTTGGTTTACATAGTTGTTCTGCTGCTCTAGTGATCAATAATAATAATAATAACTAGCAGCATGGCCCGACGTTGCCCGTGCTTGATTCAAAAATCGTACGAATCATACAGCAATCGCTATCACTTGACTTAAAATACTTTTGCCCTTCCTTGCCTTTAAAGGAGTGCCCTTTGCCGTGCTGATGTTGCTACATGCCTTACTTCTTGCCTATCTCACACTGCAAATTTTTTCTAAGCTCTATACTAAACATTAAATTTGTTACGAAAAAAGAACTAAACAAAATGAACACAAAACGATCAGCTTTAAAAAAGGACTCGTAACTGGAAAAACCGAATGAAAAAAGAATGTTAACAACAAATACTTTTTCACGCCAAACCCAGTTCTGCGGAATCAGAATCAACGTTGAGTTTAAGCAAGCGAATGAGCCAATTGGAATAAAGTGCCATGCAGATTTAAATTTTTCCCACTTGTGACGAATGCAGCGATCGAATTTTTTTGCATTCTAGCATGCTATTTAACATTCGTGTCAGTCAGCTGTTGGCTCTCATGCTGGCCAGTAGAATCTTCCCGCCTATTCGTGGCAGCCACCTATAGGCTCTCACTCTGGTCAGTAGAAAATGGCCGCAAACTACATGAAAAGTGCCGTCGAAGCATGAAAAAATCGATTATTTCCACTATCGATGGGAGCTGGGAAATGTAACTAACTTGGAGCATTTTGGTGCAAATCCGTCGAAAACTGCGGCCGTGCATTCGTTAAACAAACACACAGACATCCTGCCTTTTATAGATAGAGATACAGTGGTATTACGGATAGTCTTTAGTAGTGGGGATATGTTAAGAGGGTAACGGTTATCGTGTATGAAATTGGAATCAGCGAGGCGGGTTAAAGTTCCGGTATAGTCTTTGGCGTTTACTTCCGCATTAACCCCTTTGAGAACGGCATCTCTAG